ATAGCAAAGAGATATATTTAAATTTTTCAATTCTTGTTATAATTCAAAGAGTATGCAAATTTATTATAAATGAATATGTCATTTGAAACTTGTTTATATCTTCATATCGAATGTATATAAGTATCATAAATTTACATGTACATATATTCATACTTCTGTGTTATGTTAATTTAAATTGATTTTAATAGTTATATGTGTTTTTGTGATGTAAATAAATATTTTTCAGAACAATGAAATGTGTTTCATTATTTATAGTAATATAAAGGTAACCCAGGCTCCTGGAGCGTATCCTTAGATCGCCAACTACCCAGTCATTATTTATATATAACAACTAGCCGAATGACCCGGGCAACGCCCGTGTTTTACCCGATTGAATGTTTCTATTCAAATACTATTTGTTACAATTATAAATTGGCGCCTTAAATAAATGCATATATTTGTTAATAACTATAGCCTATGTGCTTTATCTGTCTATGTACTGTTGGCTTCCGTAGGCGTCTCTTACTGGGAAAAAGAAAGAGAGGATTCCATTTAGTTATAAACCAATATATGCATTTATTTAAGGAGCGACCCGCTCCAACGCAATAGTTACAAAAACGAAAAAGCGAGTGGGGGGGGGGGGGGCAGAGGTGGCGTGATCGTAGCCAACCAATAGGAGGGCGCCATTCCAAAAAAAAGCAAACGGTGACAGAGTTGATAAATGATTAGGAGATAAAGAATGACGCTCGTAACTGTATATAGAGAATGAGTGTAGGATATAATATTCCCTAAAAAATCTTATCTCTCTAAATATAAAAGCCAGTGTATGTATATACAGTAAAACCTCTCTGTAAAGGACACCTAGTTTCAGAGCAAAAGTGTCCTTTATGGAGAGGTGTTCTCTTACCGGAGAGTTGTTAAATAGTAAAAGTGGAGCAAGCCATCAGCAAATTGTATTTCCATGATCAGTTAATGCCTTTTGGTTAATACTAAATTGTTTGAGCGCTTTTAAATGTAGATTTATATTTAAAATGACTTCAAAATTGTTCACCGCAAATAGCTTGTCCAAAATGTTTTTTTTTTTTTTTTAATATATATAATGAAAGAGAGAGTATAAAATATTTTCAGGATAACAAATATAATTGACTAAAAGTTTATTATCTGTGTAAATATATACATCACGAAACCCTTTTTAAAAACGACAAAAAAATATATATAATTAAAAAATTAAGATGGTTTGCATAAATGTGTATCTACGTTTATCGCTAAGAAATATATACAATTATCACAGCTGTTCTAACTTATTCTTGTACTCCATGTAGAGATTCTGTAGTTTCACATTGGATGCAATTATCTGCAGCACCTCCTTCAGCAGCTCGTGTTTCTTCAGACCTAATATTTGAGGACTCCAATAATCGGTAGATCCCAACAGGTCGCTGCAGATGTCCCTTATACGCAGCTCCATGTCTTTTTTCACCAGGGAGCGTACAAGGGAGGTGAACCAGTAGTGGAATTCTTTCTGCAACCCCAGGGCTTCTGTCAACGCCATCTGGGATTCCAGGAAACTGAGATTGCAGGGTAGAGTCATCTCGTTGTCCGTCTTGCTTTGAGACTGCGCAATGGTCAATGGATCACAAGAATCTGTGAGCGACTGAATCTTTGAACTCAGAAGGTCACTACCCACTTGAATCCAAGCTGAAAGCTGGTTGTCATATGTGTAGACATTTCCAGTGCTGAGGGTGATGATAGGCAGACCCTTCTGTGTGAGCCTCAGCGAACGGACTTGACAATTAGAGGATCTTTGAAGTATGGGAAGTATGGACACATTTTTAATGATGGAAATGTTGTTTTTGAAGTCCCAGAGGGAGAGGACAGCGTGGGTTGTGGCCACCAGCACGAGATGGTTATAACAGGAGAGAAAGGAGGCTTGGCCCATCAGGACAATGGGTGGTTTCAGTCGACCGCCCCGTGGGGACACTAGAGACAGGGTGCCGTCCTCACAGCAGACTGCTATCTGGGAACTGGAAGAATCAACCAATGAAATACGGGAGGAGAAGACAATCTCCCACAGTGTGGTCCCAGAAGCGGAGTCCACACACCGTAGACGGTGGACCTGTACACTTGGCTGCAGCAGTATTCCGTTCTCAATCTCCAGGGCCCTGTATTCGATCCCGGAGAGATGAAGGCAAGAGGTTTGGTGGATCCGCGGTGCCGGGAGATGGACGTTGCTGCTGTCTTCAGAATCATCAGAGTGGGGAGTGGTCGAGTTCAACGTCCTTGGCAGTTTCTGCTTTCCTTGGAGCTGGTCTAATTTTCGCTTCACCAGCGCTGATGCTGCCGTGGGCCCGTCAGATGTGGCAGAGGCTTGGAGTAGGTTCTCCTGAGTTCCAACATCAATGATGGCAGGCTTGGGAGAATTTTTTTGATCAACTTGATTGGAGATCTGGGGGGATGTGATCTGACAATTGGCCACAGATTTTAGAGGCATGCTGATGTCACTTTTATAGTTGGATCCATTATTTTTGTCGGTAGGGATGGAAAAAGGAGTAATCCTTCTGCGGCCGTCCTTCATAGGAGTCTCCTTCTGCATATTTATCGCGCCCTTCATCTGAGATGGGGGCCGGCTGGAGTTGAAGGACTTGATCTCTGCGGTGGAAGTCTGCAGCGCCTCTTCTTCCTGCTGTTGCTGCTGGAGTTTTAACAACTCTCGGCCATCAATAAGGTCGGAAGAAGCAGCGAGGTTGTTGACCACGTTCTTGCCATAATATTTCCCTTCGTCTGTAATCGCCCTTCCAAGCTCCTCCTCTGGGAAATTCATGCAGGCTATTGAGCCGTCATAGGAACATGCAATCATCTGGGAGCCTTGCTGATTCCAGGAGATGTCCAGGATAGAGTTGGTTAAAAAATTCTCCATCACCACCCGCGGTCTCTTGAGATTTGAGAGCCAGATAGAGATAGACCTGTCATTGCTACCGATGGCGCAGCAATAGAAGTGCTCGTTTTTAGCATTCGACAGCATGTTGGGGTTGAATCTTACACAAGTGATGGGCTGGAGATGGCCCATGAAATCCTTATCGGTCTTCCACCCGTCCCGCTCCACAATCTTGGCGGTGAAGCTCGAGTTGTCCATGGCATTTGCGGCCACCAGGTGCAGACCGTCCGGGGACCAGCCTGGCCTCAGGATATGAGTCAAATTCGTGCAATTGGCGAAAGGCTCAGTCAGAACGACTTCGACTTGCCAGTCTTTGGTGCGCCACACTCTGAGAGATTTGTCATCGGACTGGGAAGCGAGGTACTGTCCCATGGGATCCCAGGCCACACCTTTGACCATACTGGTGTGACCCCTGAGGATAGCAGTGATCTCTTGCCACTTTTGAGTGTTCCAGATAAAAATGGAGTTGTCTATGCTTCCAGTTGCCAGTAAGTTGTCGCAGTGACTCCACGCCAGGTCTAGCACATCTCCAGTGTGGCCTCGTAGGCAGCTGATACTCTTCCAGTTCTCCACATTGACACCATTGGAGCCAAACACGGCATCTCCGGGCCTGTCGGACTTCTGCCAGATGGTAACATGGTCGTCTTCACCGGTGGCCAAGTACATCCCGGAGTGAGACCATCGGACTACATTAACACAACCTTGGTCAATCTGGAAGAGCAGCTTGGGAATGTTTCCGTTTTTCTCATACTCCTCGTTGAGCAGCGGGGCCATGTTCCAAATTGCCAACATGCCAATATTCGGTCCCATACCTCCAGTAGCAAATCTTGTTCCATCAGGGTGGATGTCCACTGAGAAGATGGGTTTTCCCTCATGCGACACCCAACTTGGTTTCAGATGTTTCATATTTTTGGTGTAATGTGCTTTTAAATATAGAAATATAGAAAACCTAGGTTCCTGGAGCGCAGATCGACAAAAGGAGATAGAATAAAATCAATGTAGTCAAATTAACATAATAACTAATTTATAACTTTTATAGCAGTTAATGTTTTTAAATATTTTAAGTAAATATATTTTATTCAATAGAATAATCCCTTGAATCAATTATTAAGGTAAAATAATCAGGCTTCAAGAAAAAAATTCCTTTTTTTTTTAACAATTTTATTTAGATCTCTAGCTTTCCGACAAGAAAGCCCTTCTACAGGAGAAATTACTATGCAATAAATCACCAATAAGACACGAATTATAATAGGTAATAAGATACTATTTTACATAATTTCATAAATATGTGAAAGAAAATAAATTTTCATATTTAAATATTATTTTATATACAAATTGCGGTAAAATTTTTAAAAACATATTAAATAAAGCATAAAATATAGACAACTAGGAAGAAAGTATTATTGAATAAACTGTATTGTCATGGATATGCTTTTCAAACCCGATGAAAATTCAAGTTTACATAATATTCAGAATTCTGGGTCGCCATTGTAGTCGGGAATTAGCTAATTTCTAAATTGAAAAGGTGGGGAAGCCTTCCTTGCTGAAGAAATTTGTACACATACACAACTATATATATATTCCCCTACATTTTATCTACCCTTTATTTACTATTTTATTATTTTTTTTTCCACCTTTGTAAAAATTGATTAGAAGAATCAATAAAATTGTTTTAATTGTCAATTGTCTAAATTGCTTTTCAAATTTTGTGATTTAATATATCTCTAGACCACACACATATAGAATTTTGAATTTTTTTAAAATTCGGACAGTCCAATTAATATTGGAGGTGTACAGATTTTCAAATTTTTGGGTGGTTGGGAATAAATCAACTTCAATATTATCTTTTAAATAATATGTTTTGCCTAAAGTCAACTTGTAAACTGTAAGGACTTGCGAATTAAATTTTTCAGCAATGGTTCAATATTTTAATTGTGGAAGAAATCCAAATATTCAGGTTTCTTTCTAAAGACTCCTGGGAATTACAAACCAAAAATTGTCCAAACTGGTTCTAAATTTCATCATGCTCTTATATTTATATTCAATATTTATATATACCTCATATAATATTTACGAACAGAAAAATATGTCCAGGGTAGCCTAGTGGACATGGCATCTGCCCAGTAAGCGGAACACTGTGGGTTCGATTCCCATCTCTGGACACTTTTTATTGTTCCGTTTATCATCACTCTTCACAATTCATCCTTTCATAATTCATCCTTAAGGTTGGAAATAATAGTTATTTCTCCTTAAAAATAAATTTCGATTTTTCGTTCAAAAGAAACACATGCGGGATAATTTTTAAATGTCGTTTTACAATTTATATATATATGTGTGGTATTGCATATGATCCTGTCGACTTACTGTGGTGATGCAAAATGATCCTGTCGACTGTCTGTCGAGATGAGTTTATCCTGTTGGATGAATGTAGTGAGACATATTGGTTATATGCAGTCGTGGTGCCCACAATGTTCAGAGTGGGTTCAGGCGTGAATGGGATAGCACAAAAAGACGAGGCATGTTGAATGTCATCACAGATATAAGAGACGAGCTCCCGTCGAAGAGTTGTCTGATCTATTTTAGTTTAGAGAGTGACTGATCGTAATTCGACTATGTTTTTCGGACCGACGTTGTAATCGGAGACCTTTCTCCTGTCTGGACGCCGGCAGTCACTCAATATAATTCTATTATTTCATTTTGTATTACATGATGACCAAACTGGCGAATTGGATTGTGTCTACAGTTTTGGTTGGTTGTTACACTATAGCTATATTACATATGGGGCTATATATTAAGTATATATTGAAATATATTATAACATATATAGAGGTTTATTTATATCAGCCTTTGTACATATACATACATATATATGTCATAATTTAATATTTATCTTTACAGGAATAATAAAGAAAAGATATCAGGTGTCTTTGAGGATCTCTCTCTCAGAAAAGAAAACTGGACTCGCTGCCTACTCGCAGTATACTGGTGCGCGCATGGCGTTCTATAGATAGCTGTTTATGGGCGTTAGACATTTTTATTGTCCCTGTAGTTATCCCATTATTATTTATTTTTAATTAACTAATTCGTTTTTCTTTCATTTCTCTTATATTCTACGCGTATTGTCACACACCTTAGTGTGATTGAGTAGAGATAAGAAAGAAGAAGAAGAAGACCACGCTGATGAGGGCCAACAGCCCAAAACGCGTCCGTGGTTAGCTTTTCTTGATTAATCAAGAATGGGTATTTGGCCAATTCTGGAATAATTAAAAATCAACGAGACGGGTTGATATTTATTCCGATAGATGGCGCAAGCCATCAGCAACTTTCAGTTGCACGATATTGATTAATCAAGAAAAGCTAACCACGGACGCGTTTCGGGCTGTTGGCCCTCATCAGCGTGGTGTTAGCTGTACCTCAACGACCAAAAAATTGGTCATTCAAGGTATCCTGAAAAATCATTAAACGGGTAGTTAAGGCCAGAATTGCGTGAGACCGCGACACAATATGAAAAAAATAGTACAAATGTGATATTGTATCAACGAGAATAGTTGATATTTATTCCGATAGATGGCGCAAGCCATCAGCAACTTTCAATTGCACGATAAGGAGATGCCTTTTTTCATAATTATGCACCTTATCCCAGTACAATATCACATTTGTACTATTTTTTCACATTGTGTCGCGGTCTCACGCAATTCTGGCCTTAACTACCCGTTTCATGATTTTTCAGTATGCCTTGAATGACCCTTTTTTGGTCGTTGAGGTACAGCTTACACCACGCTGATGAGGGTCAACAGCCCGAAACGCGTCCATGGTTAGCTTTTCTTGATTAATCAAGAATGGGTATTTGGCCAATTCTGGAATAATTAAAAATCAACGAGAATAGTTTATATTTATTCCGATAGATGGCGCAAGCCATCAGCAACTTTCAGTTGCACGATAAGGAGATGCCTTTTTTCATAATTATGCACCTTATCCCAGTACAATATCACATTTGTACTATTTTTCACACATATATATATAAATATTAAAATCAAAATATTTTGGTCTTAGAGGTACAGTCTGAATCACGCTGACAAGGGCCAACAGCCCGAAGCGCTTTCGTGGTTGATTTTTCTTAATTTATCAAGAAAATGGGTTGGTCAAATATCAGAGAACAGGCTAAATCAACGTTTAGTTGATTTCTGTTCCACTAGATGATGCTCTGCCATCTAAAAGTATCTATATAAAAATAAGAACATTTTCTCATTCAATAAATTAGTTATGATGCATTAGCGCGCCATCTGTTATGAAAATTCGAAACTATTATAGACGCTATGATTCTTTCAAAAATAAAATAATTTCTACTGCCCTTACTGCAATGGAAAAATTAATGGGAGGGCCTGGCTCAGCAGAGGTGAGCCCCCCTAGCAGTTTCGCCAATTTAATCTACAATACCGCTGTTATATTGCATTTGTCGATCTTCCTTTTATAGTGATACTGATTATTTATTTATAAATGTATGTAATTCTGCTGTCCTCAAAGCTTATGTCCATAGTTCATCTAAAGTACCTATTCCAAGAGTCTAACATCAGAATTAATTCTTATTTATTTTGAACTTTAAAAAAAAATCATAATTCATTAATAAATGGTGACATTTGGTATTAGCAATTGACACATTGCAAAAGAATTAGAATTGTTAAAGCTTAATTTTGAAATGTTATCAAGACTAAGAACACACACTCTCTAAATCATTGCAGGCCTGGATCTTCGGCGGGTCCGGCTTTGAGGACGACGCCCTGACCATCCTGACGTCGGCAAAGCTGCGCGTCTATCGCCACTTTGTCCAGGCTGGGCTCGGTGGAGTGGAGGACCCGCTCATCGCCTGGACGAGGACCCTCGTGCGCAGGGAATGCCTTCCTTCATCCTCCATCATCACTTTGTAAAAATTATATATTTTATTTTTCATTCTCCTGTATATATTTCTCTTGTTCTCTCTCGCTGAATTGTAAAATTGTCTAGATGACAATAAATATTTTTCAATTGTCATTGTCACTCTCTAAATCATTTAAGAAAAAAAAACGTTTAAATATATTAATAAAATCCATTATTTCAAAATGAAATGATTAATATGTAAAAATATTTAATCGTCGATTCACAAACTAATTGTTCACCTTGACAATACCTACATATCATTTTTTTTATATTAAGATGGTCAAACGTCTTCAATACTTTTACCTTTTTATTTGTGTTTTTTTTTTCGTTACCTCTCTATCGCCCTTTTCAAATTGTCATTTTAAATGATTTTTATAAAAGTTTTGATTTTAAATAAAAGTTAGAGTTGTGCTGAAATTTGTATGATTCCAAGAACCTGGGTGATATAAATATCTCTCTCTATAAGATAAATAAAATTTTAAAACTTAATAAAGATAGTATATTTTTATTTTAAGCATAATTTAACATTTCAATATCAATACAAAAAAACATATTCTCTATAAATATATTGTCTACCTTTTACTTTAAGGTAAAATACTAAAGTTAATTATTTATCAATAAAAGAAAAAATTGGAGTCTTTTATATACCCTTAAAATAGACCATAAGGAACAAAACTTTAAATGTGAGCTCCTTTAACATAAGGAGCTCTACTTGTCATTTATTTGTAAACAAATGGTTACGCATAAAGAGAGAAAGCTATGCAAATAGATATTTAAATTAAATATGTTAAGCTAATTTTGTAATACATCACATAATATTTTGCTTTTATAATATTGTAATCACAGATTGGAGTCGTAAAGGTGCATTTTGTTTAGAAATATTATTTATTTTTACAAATATAAAGAAATCACACATATCTTATTTTGATAGAACCAATAATACTCGATAATGATAAACCTTTTTTTTTTTCTTTTAAATATTTAAAAAATAATCTTTTATTATAACGCTTTTTCACATTTTAATAATTGTTTCGAATAACGCTAAAAGCAATATATCTTTATTACTTGTACATTTGGATGGATAAATGGAAGTCAATTTAAAATAAAAATTCGATAGATTATTCCATGCTGACCAAACGATCGTTTTTAGAATACATTTTCTGAAAAATTAGTAAAAAAAGTAAATGCATTATACTGGCAGAGATGGTTTATGGTAGAATATGTATGTAGGCCTACATAGTGTTACATCAAGCTTTTTTATTTTCAAATAGAGAAATGTATTGTGTCAATAATAATGATTTTTATCCCCTCATGTTAAAAGATTGCTCATTAAATGGCTGATGGAAGCATTTGTCAGTTAGAATAACAACCTGGTAGCAAAAGTTTTGTCCTTCCAATTTACAATCTGACTATACATGTCTACAATTTTTGAACTCCACCTTTGCCGGTCCCAAGCCCGGATGAAAAAGGAGGAGGGGAGCAATAACAAGCTCACTAAAAAAACCTGGGCTCAGCTTGTCCAAATTGATAAAGAGGAAGCAATCTCTCAAAAGATTCAGGTATGCCTTTTTTTTTAGATAAATATCTCTTTATGGGATTTTTTTTTCAAGATTGAATTACTAGTGATATCTCTGATAAAGCACAATTTGGATTATAGATTATAGCTACAAGAAAAAAAGACCTAATCCAAATAAATTAATAGTGTCTGACGTTTCAGTAACAGTGTTGTTACCATCATCATACATTTTATTCTTGATGGTAACAATGCTGTTACCGAAACCTCACACACTATTGATTTATTTGGATTTGGTCTTAATTTCTTGTAGCTAGAGATACCTCTGATGAGGGCCAACAGCCCGAAACGTGTCCGTGGTTAGCTTTTCTTGATTAATCAAGAATGGGTATTTGGCCAATTCTGGAATAATTAAAAATCAATGAGAATAGTTGATATTTATTCCGATAGATGGTGCACACCAGCGATAAGGAGATACCTTTTTTATAAGAGATACCTCTGTTTATATTTGACATTATAGGTGTTCCTCACCTTGCTTTTTTTTTTAATTATCCCTAGTACACGTGGTACAGGCCATGATAATCATGGTGGGTAGAAGTAGGCGACTGCTTTTACTGTAAGCGCACCACATGTCTACACATGTGAAAAGCAGTTCGACTTTGTTCCTCACCTTGCTTAACTTATGTTATTAAATGTAAACAACAGAATCTTTGATTCCATCTTGACACCAACACA